CAACCCTGCCCCTGCCGGCTTTTGGCCCTGCCCCCCGCCCCGCACCCGCAGCTACCCTGGTCCCGCCAGTGGGGGTGTGGCCCCGGAGGGGGTCCGGGGTGGGGCACAAAAACCCATTTTTGGGGTTTAGCCCACGGGGTGCACCGCGAGAGCGCGCACCCCCCCACTTTTTTTTTATCTTTTTTTTATTTTTCTTATTTTTTATTTTTTATTTTTTGGGGGGGGGGTCCGGAGCTGGGGTCAGGGGTGCCCACCCCCGGACCCCCCCACCCCCGCCGGGGCTCGACAACCCTGACAGCCTTGAGAAATTACCTTTGAAGTTTGAACGAACCAGCCCCAGGTAAATTCAGAGTTGTCTTCAACCATCTGAGTCCAATTGGATTCGAACTCAGGTCTGTGTTTCAGCAGTTCATGAATGTGCCAACTGAGCTAGGCCGGTCGATCTAGCTAAGACTCTAGCGAACAAAATATTAAACCACCACTAAGTTGGGAATCCCATTGATTCTTTCCTAAAATATCGGAGGCTCGGGACAGGGCCTCCAAAGGGCCAGTAGAAAAAGACATTGTCGCATGTCATGGGGTCACACTAGGTCTAGCCCTGAATCAAAAAAAAAAAAATGCCCGCCCCCAGGCGGGCCCTGTCCTGAGTCCCCTACCTTTTCGGAGAGGCTCACTCGAATTCCCCAGATGTACTGGTGGTTTAAGCCTAATACACAAATGCTTTCACATAGACCAAGCTGGCTTTATTCCCGGTCGCTATATTCTGGACAATGTCATGGCTCTAAATGAAGCTACTAAGAAAACGTACAGAAAGAAAGAATGCAGGTGGTTGTACTGTTCTTCAACTTCGAGAAGGCTTACGACCAGGTCAACAGGGACTTCTTACATGACTGCATGGCTCTATGGAAAAAATAGGGTTGGATTCCTGGTGCAGGAAATGGGTCAGAAATTGAATCCTATATAACGACCGGACAGGTAGGGTTCAGGTCAACAAGATATTATCAGAAATCTACTCGATTTCTGGATCGGTGAGGCGAGATCCAAGCCAAAGGGCTTCATACCCCTCAAGTACATTGAGAGACTCTCTTTCCGGGGCAGGATCGCTTTGGTTATCCATTCTTTTTGGGGGCGTGGCAGGGGGTTTCCCACAGCCCAGCCCACATAGCATCACCCACATACTCCACATTGCACCACCCAGCGGACGTAGCATAAACCACCTATCCCGTATTATATCGCCCAATTAGTACCATACAGTCCACATGTAAAAAAAAAAAAAAAAAAAAAAAAACCCATATAGAACCCCACAGAGAGACTAGTTAGTTGACATGGTACCACCCAACCCACATAGTATAACCCAGGTCACATAATACCACCCAGCCCACACAGTACCACCTAGCAGTGCCGTCGTGTGCTCTTTTCTTTAAGCCTCCAGTACACGGCCCTAGCCTTGGGCCTACCGGACCACAATGTCTGGCGGCGCCAGCCAAAAAAGAAAAGAAGTGATCAGCTGGCGGTTCGGTAAACTTTGGTGCACAGTGGAGTGCCTCCACCTAGCGGTGCCACCGTGTGCTCTTTCCTTTAAACAGCCAGGTACACTGCCCCAGCCTTGCTGAAAATGAACTCGTTGCCCATCTGAAATGGCACAACTCGGGCCTTCCGGACTACAATGGCTGGCAGCACCAGCCAAATAGAAAAAAAGTGTGCCGCTGGCAGCTCGGCAAAGTTGGGCGCGCAGTGGAGCGCCTTGAAGCCTGGGTGTACTGGTGGTTTGTGAGAGTCATGTTTGTCCGTAATCGGGTGCATTTCCCAGCAGGATGGTTTTCTGTACTTGCTTGCATTGTCAGAGAGTATCTGACTCTCTG